GCAGATTACACATGGCTGTCGTAATATGTTCCACAAGGTATCCCTGTTGCCCTGGGGTCAAACCCAAAATTGTGTTATGTTTGGCCGATGTCTAATTGTTGTTGGAATAGCCTTCCTTTCGTTCGAAGAGACGAGTGGAAAGGATTCTTAAGTTGGCCTCATCAGAAGCTTTTCCTCGTCATGGGAAGGACGTCGTCAGAGCAAGACGTCATGCTCAACGATAATTCACTAAAACACGAAGACGAAAAAGGTGGCCGGCTTCAAACATACCCACTTCTTACAGTCGAATTTGGTCCACTTTATTAGGCATCACATGTTCTGGTTGGATATCCCATGCTTGGCCCAAATGTTTGCTCAAAAGTTAAGTCAATTGGCCGCGGATGACATGTGAAATGGGTGAAGATGAAGTGTGAGACGGATTTTTAGTGTCCCCGAATAGCTGCATTCTCCCCCCAAAAATGTATACATTTGACCCTGCAATGTGACCGCATGTGATTGCGTCGCAGTGCGCGCGTGCTGTGTGTTGAGTGGAGAAATGACAGTCTGTCGCCACTTCTCGGACTCGACCAACTTTTTAGTACCGTTCGGGAGGCCGACGAGATGGTACAGCCCAGTCAAACCTGCATTCTGGTCCAGCCCGGATGAGGCTGCCTTTCGATTGGCAGCACTGAGCGAGGAAAGTAGTTGAAGCTGTTTACCAAACGTGGACCCATTTGTCCAAAAAGCGAAGTAGAAAGTCAGGTCAAAGGCGGTCCAAATCGAGAGGACTCGATCCCACTTTGAGCCAACTTGAGATAACATTTTAAAGGTCAATTATACAAGCTGTGCTCAGGTCTCTACAAAAGGTCAATCGTAAGACATTGGTACAGATACTGACTCATTTTCTAAGGTGCCAGTCGATTTAGAGACAAGAAGAATAATTGGGTTTCAATGAATCTCCGAATACAATTTAGTTGGGGAGACTTTTTTCTCGTTATGCATACATACACAAAAGAGACAAGTGCCAGCCAGTCTTCTTGACCTGGTGCTGACTTAAGACTTTTACAAGAATCAGTTCCAGCTCTGATGATGTTCATCATAAGATGGACGAAAGATGCGTAAGCAAGACTGTTGTGTTGTACGAAGAAGTGCTCAGCCCACAATCCTGCCAGCCCCATCAATCTATCCAACAGCCACGAATAGTTCCTACTCAATTT